ATGGTAGGACTTGTAGGAGGAGGAATAATTAACACAACTCAGCAAAGGAAGGAGAGAAGATGGAGAAACCAGAAAGAGGAGAATACGTGGGCCCAAAGTCTCTCAGAAAAACTCTGGGCCAGATCATTTCTTTGACCAGTGGAAAACAATGTGTTTAAAGGTTCGGTCAGTGGAGCAGCGGAAAGCAGAATTACACACAGACAGCTGCTGGGAATCACACGCAGCTTTCACATTGTCTCTCTGTGAATGTTAAGATCTAAAAGTGGTTAATCAAGTCAAACCTAACAAATTCCTCGCAACCAAAAGGGTGTGCTTTTTTACTTTTAGTTCAACTAGTTTAGATAAAAAATATCAAACAATATCTTTTTTTTTTTTTAAATATACTGTAAGTATTATTAAGACAAATCTCTAATAAATCAGTTAATTTCCTCAGATTTCAGTAAAAATTGTCTTTAATTCTTATTTCAACATGTTAAACAACAAGATGCTGGTGTTTTAACATAAGTATAAGACATTCCCCGAGTTTTATAACCTGACTGTCACCAGAGAACCATCACTTCTACACAATAAAATCTTTTTTTTTTTTTTTTGATGTCACTGATGGAGAACTCACAAGGTTAGCTCTATAAAATAAGTAAGAGGAAGCACAGCAATTGAAATAGGCTATAAAAACGTAAAAGGTTATTTTCTATGAGATATTTAAACATCTCATCATCATCATCATTTCAGAGGCAGCAACAGAACAGGAGAAAGAGACCCGGCAGGAATGTTGGACGTAGAAATATTAGCAGCCATTTGGAAGCTTAAATGTATAATGTTCTCGCCTCGAATGATCTTAAAACATATTATTGTAGAACAAGGACAACAGAAAAGTGAACTTCTAACCTAATACTCTGTGAGCGCCCACTGGAAGCTGCCGCAGTGCATGCTGGGAGAGCTTTCAATCTTACGAACGGACAAGTCTGCTTTGATGCCTGCTCGGTAAATAGGGAGAGGCGAGAACAATATTTGACCGTTCTTCATCTTGTGTTCTTATGAATTGGAACAGTACTAGGGCTGAGGCTGATGACCTTTCACAAGCACATGACAATGCACAAGTACACATATTGACAAACAGCCTCAGACTCTGTTTTGTTTAATTTGCAACGATGAGCGCATTGAGCACTGGAGCGTGGCTAAAATATGGATATATATCTCAAGTGTACAACCGTTGCTGCCATGTTTTTTCAAGAGTTAGTGCTTAGCGTATTTACGTGCATTTCAAATGTATTTGTTATTTAATTGAAACCAAATATTGCATCTTCGAAATTATAGCAGAATATCGACATAGTTTTGCACACATTTTGTAGTGAAAACGCAGATCCGATCGCCTTGTCGCCTGGCATCAGCTCTGCTGCTCCAGAAAAGAAACATTTTAAATACAACTGAAGGCAGGATGGCAAGAAGAAAATTATCTCTAAACGCTTCTTGAAGAAAAAAGATTTGAAATTGATTTGAGGAAAAAAAAAAAATCAACAACTAAAGATGATAAAGGACCCAGTAGTTAAAAACTCACCAAAAGTTTTGAATTAAATTTTTTCTGCTTTTCATCAAGACCAGAATAAATTCTCTCTAAAGAGCTATTGCTGATCTGCATCTTGCAGTCTTAACAACACATAATAACAACTAAATACATGATTCAGAATTACAACATACTGCATGCAAACATTCATGCTATGTACATTTAATGTTAACTAGAACCAATATGGAATCTCTGGGCAATATTAAAGATGTTTTAATAAGAAACATGAACATCAATTTAAGACTTTTTAACCACCATGCAGAAACCCAGTATATTATTGTATAGACCAACTAACAGCTTCTAATTACTCCATTCAATGCTAGCTCAATGCCTTGCATAGTTTAAAGAGCATAGCAGCTGTACAGTACAAAAAGCCCTTGTTGCAGCACGTTCAGTGCTGTAAACAGACCACTTTAATCAATAATGACTGATTGTTAACGCTGCCAGCTTTAAGGAAAGTCACAGACGAACTACACAAATCTAGTTCCATTTGTTATTGGTTTATAAAACCTGTTGGTTTACAGATGTAAAAAAAAATTATAATAATAAACCTTTACAACTTCCATGAGGAACTGAGACATTTCATAAAGGGGGAAGTGCACAAAGAGGAAGGAGACTTTACCTGAAAGGGAAACAAAGCTTTTAGCTGTGTCTGCACCGCACTGAGGAAGGTGAAGAAAAGATATACTGGTGTGAAAGATAAGAATGATAAATGAGAGCCGTGTGGGCTGAGAGGGTGGTATATGGATAGCAGATTAAAAGGCAAAAAGGTTCAGAGAGCACAAAAAAAGAGGAGGGTGGAAAATGAGGGCATCTCAAGGCAAAGTTTCTCACATACACACGCCGGTTGGACACATCTCTCCTTCAATCAAAACTGAGCCTATCTATCCATAAGACTGCTGTGCGTTTTGAATAATGGACCCAATATGAAGCAAGTCACTGAGATGATTTGGTTGTCTGATGGGGGTCATGGGGTTCCTGCCCTGAGAGCAGTGCAGGGAATCAACAGCAGTCATAAAGGAATCACAAGACGGAGTCATTTGCATTTTACACTCACAACTAAATTGGAAATGACTCGTGTCTGCTCCTGTCTGGGCCATCCCGATTCATATCAGATACGCTTTTAATTTTTTATACGGCAGTTATGGAGAACTGGACCTCTGCGGCTTTGTCTAATTTCCCAAGACTTAGGGCTCTGAAAATCTTATGGTTCTTTCATGATATCAAAATGAAAGAGCTTTCGAATGATTTTCTTATATCTTCGGGGACAACGTCAAATGTTATGAGAGCGCTTTTGTTAAAAACGGATCTTGGCTCTCTCTTCTGTCGTCCTGAAGTTCATGGAAATCTTAGCCCATTATTACAGAATAATAAATAATGAATGATGCGACTAGCTGATGGCTGAAAAGATGACTGTTAGAGAGGATGAAGGAGAGCTGTTTTATGGTTTTGTTCATTTTCACAAACCAACGTGTCCATCTGGTACTTGCTAACATGTATGCCATCTGAACACAATTAGTCAATAGAAATGTAAAAGCTAGTTTTTTAAAGTGTTTTTTGTAATTCTTTCTCATCCGTTGCTGCGCACTGTTGTGCACAACTAAAAACAGCTACTTTTGTTTCTCAGCAGGACCTCTATATACCAACACAAGTGAATCACAATGTCAAACCTTTCTGTTGCGATTGTATTGCTTAAAAGTGTAAATCCAAAATCAAGTCTCTCTTTTTTTAAGCTGAGCAACAAATTCTGTGAGCTTTGACAACCTTTGCACAGAAACTGGGTCAAATGGGGGTATCTATCTCAGTTGGATTCCATTAAACAAGCTAATAAAAAAATAGGATGACCAATTGGAACCAATTAAATGAGGATTTTGAAGCCCAAATAATTAGTACATCCAAAAAAAGGCCTTTATAGGTTTAAACCTGCGGACACTGATAGTAAAATGCTGATATATATAATATTCTGTGTGAGTCTTTAACAACCAAAGCTTTAGTTTGGCTATGAAGAGTTTTTACAGCTTTTTATAATGCTCTGACATTAAAAAGGAAGCAGAATGTTGTAAAAACTAAACATTTAAGGGTCCTTGTGTCGCCGTAGAGCTTATGTAGCTCTCCAAACATATTTTTTTGTGGCTTTTTCTTAACATTTCTTAAAAGTTGCCAACAGAGAGGCAAGCAGTTGCAGAGCAATTTCCTCTATACTGGACACAGAGAGAGTGACAAAAGACGGTCCATCCTGGATGCCCTTGCTGTCAAAATCAAATTGCATTAGGTGATTTTCCTGTTGCAAAATGCATGGGGAAATCAATGCCTTCCCTGAAGTGTACTCAAATAGAGACAAACCTGAACTATTTCCTCCACACATACAGTAAGAGGCCCCATCCAAACTGTCTTTGGTGCCTTTAATCTCACATTATTGTTTCACTAATATGTTAAATATTTGGCTTCCACCTGTAAATTTTCATGAAACAAACTGAATTAAACTTGTACTCTTTTAAAAAGTTTGGGAAATTAAAATAGCAAAGCTTGGTACATATATATAAAAATGTCTTAATTTAAGTGAATTTACTCATTTGAGCATTTACACTAATTTGAGCAGGAAAATACAATCGTATCTTAGAATAAGATAGTTAGGTAATATGTACTTGAAATAAGAAAATGCAGTTGTTTTTTTCTTATTTTAAATAAAGCTGGGTAAAAAAATCGATTTAATTGATTTTGAATCGATTCCTCTACATTTTTGCAGAATCGATATCTAGGGAATGAGATCGATTAGTTTTATAGTGACGCGCGTGACAATCAAATGAGCAGGAAAGATGCACTCAAGATTACTTCAAGCCGAACAGCTGCAAATATAGCCAATAGTTTGACAGAAGACATTAACAAATGGGGGCTGAGCAGCAAACACCCTGTAGTTGTTACAGAAAACGCTGCAAATATGGTTTGTGCAGTGAAGATAATGCAGCTCATGCATGTCTGCTGTGTCACGTCTGCTTGCTCGAGTGAGGCTTCACTCGAGCACTTATGTTTGCACTTATGAGACAGTTTTGTTTACATCTCAAGCTTAAACTGTCTGATTTACAAGTTTGCACCTTGTGTTTAATGTGACAGGGAAAAAAAATAATACATGAGTATTCTGAAACACAGTTGAACCACTTTCATTGTTGTAAAAACAGATAGAATTGAAATTAATCGATTTTGAACTTCTTTTAAGGGAAAATTTAGTTTTTTTGCAGTATATTCTCATCAGATTATAAACTACTGTCTGCTTCATTAACAGTAATTACAGAATACAATGTTGCTTCAAAATAAAGCATGGTTATACAGGGATATCATGGTGTTTTATGTCAATATCACCCAGCAATGATCATTTCATACCAGCCCCTACCAAAGCAATGGACATGTTAGTTCATGTAATAATAAAAGCACTGTTGATTACCTGCTCCAGTATTTTCCTGTATCTCTGGGTGGCTTGCTGGATCAGGTCCCTCACAGTCCATCCATCCTTGCAAGGCACAACTACACCTGTCTGTCCAAAATTGACTGTCACCTTCATCATGAAGCCTCTGGTTTAGTGCTGGTGAAGAGAAGCCAAAGAGGAGGTAGGATCCAATATGCAAAGTTTACTAAACAAAAGTCTAATTCCAACACACAAAAAGGAAGGTAAAAAAGCAGCAAACAACAGCAGTCAGAGCAACTTCTTTAAAAAGTTTCCTTCGGAGCTCCGCAGTTAAATGACATTGTGATTTAGCAGGCAGCACTTTTAACCAGCATGCAATGGTCAGCTCTCTCATCTCTGTCCGAGCTCTACAGATGATGCTGTTTAGTTAGGTCAAAACATAATCAATGTTTATTGAATCGTTGAACCTCTGTGCTCTTTTCATGATGGAGTCGCTAATAAACTAGAGCTATGTCGTATTATTGAATCCTTTTTGCGACTTTACCGGATTCTGATCCAATAAGCTAGCTGATTAGCTTTATTGTATAACCTGGACTGCGCCAGGATAATTTTACTTTCACAACCTTTTTTTAATACTCACGCGTCTTTTTCTGCAACAGCTAAACTAACTTTGACTTGTTAAGGTTGAAGAAAAGTTTCTCACCACCCGTTAGCGAGCGGTTCCTGTGCTAGCTAACGTTAGCCACCTTAGCTGAGTTTCGGAGGAGGGAGGGATGCAGCCGTTCGGGCATCATTCCTAAAGTTTTCCTCTCGCTTCCAGTCAGTCGTTTGCATCTATTTTTGTTTCCTCAAAACAGGACAAGGAAGCGCAGAAGTTATTAACACCTCCAGTTACAGGTTGAGAGAGAGCTGACCCAGCGAAGCAAAAAAATAAAAATAAACTTTTCCTGAAGTGGGAAAGTTTTGAGATTCCTCTACAGCGCCCGTCCGCTCCTGACCAATTCCTGACCAGCGACTTGTTGCTGCCGCTGCTGCTGCTGTCACTTTCTTAAAGGGGACGCGCCGAAAAAAAGGCAACTTACATTATAAAAGTGGTTTTTAAAAGGGATTGTAAATTACTTTATATCACATATTTTCCAACATTTTGCTGCTGTCTTAATACCTTCTTTTTTTATTAACAGTGTCCTATACGGAAGAAGAGTTGGGCCACTGAAAAAGAAAAGTTAACGGATTTTTACATTTTATTTCAGTTTAATATGGGAAAAAGTCAGGATTCTGACTTTAATCTCAGAAATCTGTCTTTTTTTCCACAACAAACTGAAATAAAATTTAAAAATCAGTTAACTTCTTTTAATTTTTCAGTGGCCCTAATCCTCTTCCGTAGTCCTGTCTGGCGATGTGGCAATAAGAATAATTGTCTTGATGCCAAAAAGAGAGCCCAACAGATTTTGCTTTCACAAGTGGAGCAGTATGGCTGTCGCTATGGATTTCCGCTTGATTTATGCATATAAATAGCTTCATTATAATTCATGCAGGGAGTATTATAGATTTTATTTACACTGCAATGTAAGTAGAGCAGGAAAGAAAAACAGGACAAAAAGGAAAAAATATGAGGGAAAGAGGAGATAAAAGGCGAATAAAAGGGAGATAACGATAAAAACATATTCAGTCTGCTTCATCTTCTGCAAAGAGATGTAAAAAGTACAGCACAAGCAACTAATGTAGGTACAATAAACGGATAAGATATACAATAAACACATAGATACTATCGCTGAAGTGTAAGTAGTATTATTTAATCTGACATATATACTGTTGTAGCTGAAGATAAGAATATGGGCTTTCTGTATGGAAGTGAACCTCTAAGTACCTGGGGCCAAGCACCTGTAGTTGTTTGTTAGAGTGCACTTGTGCATGTAAACTTTGTCCAAAGGAAAAATGCTCAATAGTGGTTGTGAAGAGCCGAAGACCCGCCCCTCCAGAGCACCGACCCAAAGCCCCAGACACCAAAAGGGATCTCAAGAGCCAAGGCGCCCAGGAGGGGCCAACCCAGGAAATCTGACCCCACAACAAGGGAGGAGGAGAGACAGCCCCGAGGAAAACTCCCAGCCTCCGCAATGCTGGAGCCCTCAGGAACCACGGGGACGAGTCCGCGAGATGCGCCGGACTTTCAAAAGTTATAACACACAGTTAATATGGCTTTCTATTGCTATATGTTATTTGTCCTTTGACCAGTCCTCCATGATACAGAAAGAAACTTTATTGACAAATGGTAGAGAAATTCCTTATATTAATGAAAATCTTGTGCTTGTAAGATATATTAGTATTTTATTTATTTTTCAAAAAAAAAAAGAACAAGTGTCCCCGAAGGATCACTGTCATTTCCACCACAAAATGTAACTTAACTTTTTTTTTTTACCTTTGTATACTTACAATCACATTAGTGTTTAAGTAACAGGACAGCTAAAAACAGGATAGCAGTGTTAGCTCTATGGAAGGAAGGGACAAAAGAAGAAAAAAAAAAGTTTTATGAAACCAAGAATGGATTTATTGGCTGTCATTTTCAAACACTTCAGATTTTGTTGGAATGTTGAAGTAATGAGGAAAATGCCATTTTATATGGTGTATTTTAAAAGAAATACTAAAGGTTGCCATTTCCAAAACAGTCATTTCTATCACTATATATAATATACTTGCATATAATATTTATGAAATCTCATCAGAACCTGTGTCAGTTAATGTTTCTCCATGGCGTCAGTGTTATGAGTCCAGCCCAGTTTATTCATGTCAATAATAAACTGGGCTGGAATCAAAACACCGCCTCCCCCTCCTGAAGAGGCTGAGGTCCTTTATAGTGAGCAGACCCCTGCTTAAAACCTTCTATGACCCTGTGGTGGCATCAGCCCTCCTCTGATCCTGGGCCCCTGGCAGCACAGAATGGGACAGAAGGAAACTCTGCCACCAGACTGTAGAGGAGATGAGCAGCTCCTTTAGTGAAACACCTTTACACCCTGTTTGTAAAAAGGAGTGCTACTGTAGGTCATCCATCCCTGCTGTAACCAGACTCTACAATGCAACACTATTACGGCAATAACTTGTGTAATATCCAATGTGCAATTACTATTTAATACCCTGTGCAATAACAGTTTTTTTTGTATTTGCTACAAATAGCAAATATATAATAGTGCAGTAGCTATATATATATATATATATATATAAAGATATATTGTATATATATTGTATATATATGTATATATATATAAATCTGATCCTAACTTGATTCTTTTAAACTGCAGAGTAGTTGTTGTTTATTGGGATTTAGAATTAAGATTGAACTGTCTATTTTGCGTCCACTGTTCGGGTTTCTGATCAAAAAATCAGATTAAGTCAAATTAGAGAAAAACAAACTCAAAAGACTGCGAGAGAATGCTGCACACTGGACTTGGTGCCACAATGGGAAATATCTTTTTATCAGTCTACAGCAGCCTGTTCTCACAGGGTTGCAGCAATAATTACGCTGGAAGCAGTGTTTACGACGACATTCCGGCAGTCCATCGCAAGAACCAGGAAACAATGGAATTAAAATATTTTTTTTTAAGTATTTTCCAGTTGTACAAAGAGAGCGTTGTTACTGAAGATACCTGATGACAATTAATTACATTAAACCTGATACATTTTCAGTCACATCGGCTCCCTCATAAATTCTATTTCGAACAGAACAGAATTTCTGTTCTCCATCTTAAATGTTTGTTTAATTACTGCATATCCTTATTCAATTCCATACTATTGCTTGCTTTGTGTTGTGAAGTAACTCAAGTTAAATACTATGTTTGGCAGTTTTAGTTTGTTTTTAAAAGGCAATGACAATAAATATTTTAACATTTTCTATCACTGTGAAATACCACTACAGAACAAGTAAGATTAAATTAAAAAACATCTAATTTTCCTACATTTTTCCACATGTTTTAGAATTAATCTCTCAATATTGTTGGTCAATAAAACCTTCGCCATGATTTAACTTCATCTATATTGGGTTTGTAACGGTCACATTTACCAAAATCATGTTGGAGCATCAAAAAATATGAAGGTCCATTTGACCCCCATATATTTCAGTCAATCTTTATTTAGTGAACACTCAAAATGGCAATTTGCTGTACATTCCCAAAGATGAAATTACTACTGCATTATAAAAAGTGAGAAATATTAGAAATATACACATATTTCCTATTTTATCTATATGCCATTCTAACAATACCTTTGTTTTTTTTAATATTATGCATAAAAAAAACACATATTTTCCCCTAAAAACACAAATTTATGGCAGAGTTGAGTATTTGTAATTCATTGAAGAATCATAGTTTGAACTACAACAAGCCGTTAGGACTAGTTACTGGAACCATTTCAGCACCATAATACTGAAGCTGTATTTACAAAACATCCTGGATTTCCAGAGTTTGGTTCATCTTCAAAGGGGGGAATCCCTCCGTGAGAGGAGGAGTTTGACTTTGTAATTAGCAGCTGAACTGCCTGCATGCGTGGATCTGCTAATTCATTTGAGCGAGTTTTAGTTTCTGGGTCACTGAATTGCATTGCTGCTAATGAACCCCAGGGGAGAAGGAGCATTGTGCATGCAAGCCTTTTTTCCTCTCTTTTTATCTTCTGTGATAAAGTTTTAAAGTTGGAAGTTATGCATGAATTATCATCCAACTAATACATTTTAATTTACTCACAAATAACCACACATTTTTAATACACACCATAGGAGTATTTACAATATTTATCTATAGGTTTTAATTATTTATATTTTTTTATCAGTGTGTTATTATTATACTAATAAGCAATAACAACTGGAGCAGCTTCTACAGTGATACAGTGTTTTTGGCACACAGATATTTTATTCAACTATTCTTTTTGGCTCAACTCTTAACACAAAGCATGTATAGTTTGCACAAATCTGAGGAAGAAGTTTAAATTATTGTGGAGTTTTCTTACACATGTTTAAAATTATTCTTTTATCATCACCACAGCATTTGATTAAATGCCCATTAGCAAACATCAGAGGATTTGAATGCCACACTTGTACTTCTTCAAACATTGTTCTTTTGTCCAAATATTTGTCTCACATGACATTATTTCACCATCCATCCATCCATCCTTTTTCCATCACGCTTATGCCAACCAGAGGTTCCGAAGGGAAATCCAGGTCGGTGTCAGAAAGCAGCTCAAAGTTCAGCAAATAGGCAAAATCCAGCAGGAGTCCCAACACAGGTCAGGCAACGAGATCAGACGGAAAAAGGTAATCAGACACTAAGATAACGCTGGCACACTCTAACCACTGGTGCGGGAATAATCTGGCCCTGATGACTGGAATCAGGCAGGATAAAACAGATGGTTTACAGGCAGAACAGGTCAGGATTAGTTAATCAGAGACACTAGGGTAACCATGGCACACTCTCCCCACTGACTCGTAAATAATCTGGCACTGATGACTGGTTAGAGGGCTGGTAAAATAGAAGCAGTAGCAGGTGGTTAAGATGAAGGTAATGAGACAACAGGCGGACCTAGGCAGGTGAATGAAATTAGTAATCCAATCAGTCATCAGTGCCAAGATAATGACAATATATCCACTTTTTCCCAACTTCAACTAAAAATCTGATGATTCTCACCTAGTCTGTTTTTACCATTAAGAGCTGTATTCAGACCCTGCCCACTTGTTGCCCCATATGCTAAAACCCTAACCATAGCAGCACTTTTAGGGCAGTCGTCCTATATTATGAACAGTTGTGAAGCCGCTGTAAACATGTTGGTAATTGAATCCCCCTGCTGTTAGGGCAGGTGCATCCACTTCCTGGTTAACAAATCATAGAGAGAACAAGGGGGGGATAACATTAATCATGTCGGTGTTCTTCTCAGTTATAATAATTCTAACGGTTCTACTGATACCTTTATAAGATTTACACCTGATGGTGGCAACAATCTAATAATTCCAAGATATAAATAAATCAAAACAAATTAA